ACAGTAAACCAATTTCATTAGTACTGAGCAGCCAGCGTTTTGCAATAATTTTATTTATATACTGTTCATAGGTCATTTGGTCGGGATTGAGTGTCTGATTAATTGTAGTTTGCTATTGAATTAAAACATTAACCTACAGGGGACTTCCTGAGAACATGGCGGACAGACAGCAGCAGCTACTGAAGGCTCTCTAAAGGCTCGGCTCAGAGGCCAGGAATGATGCGGACTAAGGAGATACGAACCAGTAGAGATATGCTCTGCTGACTCAGGAACGAACTGGGCTGAGAGAATCTAACTTAGAATACAGTCCTGGCGCTAAAATAGGAACAGAAAAATCTCAGTGTGGAGGCTCGACCCCGCGCCATTGGAAACCGCGGTTTGGATTTCCCACCGCCCAGCGGCTGGCTGCCTCCACAGCGGCTCGGCAAGGAGAGACGCGCCCGCCGAGCTCTGGGAACGGGAGTCTGCGAACGGAGTCCCCGCGCCATTGGAAACCGCGGTTTGGATTTCCCACCGCCCAGCGGCTGCCTGCCTCCACAGCGGCTCGGCAAGGAGAGACGCGCCCGCCGAGCTCTGAGAATGGGAGTCTGCGAACGGAGTCCCCGCGCCATTGGAAACCGCGGTTTGGATTTGCCACCGCCCAGCGGCTGGCTGCCTCCACAGCGGCTCGGCAAGGAGAGACGCGCCGAGCTCTGGGAACGGGAGTCTGCGAACGGAGTCGGAAACAGGACGGACAAGGAGGAAAACTGACTGGTGGCGAGGTGAGCAAGAAACTGATCCCCTACCACAGTTTGACTCCAGCGGAGGTTTTTCTGGGCTCAGGCAGTCCTGTAAGAGCAGGGCGCGGTGACAACTCCAGCCGCACATTCCCCTCTCAGACGGGATTGGTGAAAGGTGCCTGGCCTGAGTGAGGCTGCTGGCGGACTCCCTAGGCTGGCCTAACCCAGATCCCAGAGCCTGACGGTGGCCCGGAGGAGCGACCGACTCCCGCGTAGGCTGCCTCCTCCGCAACTCCCTGGGGCGCAGCAGTGGGCGGGAACAACTAGCCAGCACAATTTGATCAGGCTGTGGCTGACAGGCAGGAAAGCCGGGCCTCCTATGTAAGATTGCATTTTATAAGGAACAGAAAATATGGGGAAGGGAAGCAACAAAAAAGGCTCCTCGGCCCCCAATCCTGAGAAACAGGCAATAGTGGACACCGCACCAATATACATTAAGCGCCATCTAGAGAGCCTCATAGACCAATTCAGGAATGAAGTTATCAATGACCTGAAGCTAGAAGTATGCAGAATAGTTAGAGAAATGCTAAGCACCACCCAGGAAAAAGCAGATGGTGGAATGGAAGAACAGAAAAAGAGGGGAGAATTGCTTGATGGAGAAAACAGAGAAAGCATTGAGTATGTGAAGCAGGTTCAAAGAGACTATCAAGAAATTAAGAAGTCTGTCCAAGACTGGCATAACAGCTTGAAAGAAACTAAGGACAGACTATCTGAATTGGAGGGCAGATTTGAAACATAGGAGAATGAAATGAAAAACTTCTTAAAAATAACAAAGAAACACACAGCAATAATACAAAGACAAGAAGATGATAAGAGGAGCCATAACTTAAGGATTAAGAACATAAAAGAAGAAGTAGGGACACAAACAAGTGAACTACAAAACCTACTCACAGAAATAATCCAGGAGAATTTTCCTAATTTAGCAAAAGGTAAAGATACTCAGATGTATGAGGCATACAGGACCCCAGCTACCTACAACCCTAACAGAGAAACACCCAGGCATATAATAATAAAAATTCCAGAAATTCAATACAAGAACAGAATATTAAAAGCTGTAAGAGACAAGAAACAGATCACTTACAAGGGAATACCCATCAGAATTACAGCAGATTTCTCTTCACAAACCATCAAATCACAAAGAGCATGGGGAGAAATAATTCAAGCTTTGAAAGATAATAATCTCCAACCAAGATTGAGATATCCTGCACAACTGTCCCTGGAAATTGATGGAAAAACAAGGTGCTTCCAGGATAAAGAGGAACTGGGGGAATTTGCAACCACCAATTCAACCCTACAGAAAGTATTGCAGGATATTCTAAAAAAAGAAAAATACAAAGAACCCAGAAATAGTGGCGGGGAGGCCACAACGAATGGAGCAGAGAACAAAATGTAGAAGACAAACTGACAGCTACTGACAGAAAAAGAGCTCAACAGAAATGAGACAGAGAAGATTGGATGATAGGAACAGCTTTTTTTGGAGAAAATACCATCTTAATAGGTAATGCTGATTTAGTACCATCTTGTTTTGAAGTCTCATCTAGCTTTTGTTCTTCTGTCTCCAATGGTCTAAACAGGTTGTATCTTATTGGATTTTGTTATGTACGATAGTATAAGCAAAAACCTTTTAAGGACAAGGAGATTATACAGAGACCATTGTTCATTTTCTGTTAGTCGATTCTAAATACTCTATAATGCTGTCATTCTCTTAAATGGTTTTACATTGTTTTGATATACTTAATGCTACAGTATATGAAGTTGTACTCAAGGACTTCAGGGAGGGAGTCAATATGGTAACTATTTTTGGGTCAGGATTATCTTGTGGTGAAACACTATTCTGCTTAAATGGTTATGTTTTGATCTGCCCTGTTTCACTGTTATGCCCTCTTTTTTCTCAATCTCCACTCCATTATTTACTTTTTTATTTTTACCCATTTAATTAAAGGGAAAAATATAGCAGGATATAATATAGTAACCCACTTTGACTTTCTATTATCTCGATTTGAAGCCCTGTATTACTCTCACCATCTTGTTTTTGACTGAGGTTCCTCTATTCTGTTTTGCTGGATAGTATCAGGTTCAAAAGTTTAGGCATCAGCTGAGAAGATAATGAGATTCATTATAACGCCCATTCTCGTTGACTTTTATCTACTTTTGAAGACCTACAATATCTCCAATGTTTTGGTTTTGTCGGTTTTATTCTTTACAGTTTTGTTCAATTGTATAACAACTAATGATATAGGCAATTCTATTAGAAATAGCGGGAGGCATTATGGCAACCATTGTTGATCACCTTGTATTATGTTTTTATATTATCTATTATGTCCACCCTTTTGACTTGACCGATTCTGTTCTGTTATGTCACATTTGGTTTTACTCTCTTCCAAAAAAGCAATAAGAACCGTGGGAGCAATGAAACCCAAAATGTGTAATAGTCATTGTACAAAAGAGAGGAAAAGAAAGTGCTCTAAACTATATAACTGCATGTATATTTAAATGTATAAGATAGAAAATGATATCACAGAGTTTTATTGGATCATTGAACAGAACTGTTTGCAGTATCATTGTTGGAATGTCCACTCTACAAGCTTTAATTTTGTGACTTGAACAATTATTTCTAAGATGGCAATATGTAATCCATTAACTAGTGATTGCCTACTGCGCATTTTTTTCTCCTGTAAATCTGTGTAACTTGTACCCCTTCACTGTTTTTTTTTCTTTCTTTTCTTTTCTCCTTAAATAAAATAAAATTAAAAAAAAGAAAAAACATTAACCTACAATGGTTTTGTCAATAATCACTGATTTAATACCATTTTGAAGAAGGCAAAGCAGGCTTATAGATCAAGTAGGACTTGGAAATCTGAATCTCTGAACTATGTATTCATCTCCAACCTCAAGAAAGAAAATGGAAGAATTAAGGGATTCACAACAAAAACACAGGATTTGCTTTTACCACATATTTCTATAATTATTACGGTATTTTTAACACAAAATATCACATCTTTCTCCCATCAATTCACTCCCAGTAGCAAAAAAGATCTATATCCAGGAGAAGAATTTATAAGACAAAGATTGGGAAGATAGGTAAGCACTATGGGGGTGTGGAGACCATCAGAAAAGCAGCCCAGAGCCCCAGAGGTTCCCAGACGCCCTCGTACCTCAAGAAAACAAAGGTTCCTGGGAACAAAGTGATGCCCAGAGCTCATTATGATGCAGGCCAGGAGTGGTGACACTGAGAACACCGCTCTCCCCATGCACGGTCAGACCCTGCACCCCATCATGATTAGCTATAATAAGGTGTCTAAGGCATGCTGCCAATCATGAGAGAAAATTTCCAGTGGTTGTTGCTTGAAAAGACATTGAATATGAACTGGCAAAATACACAAAGGAAATCAACTTATTCACCTCAGAATATGGTGAATATTTATATTTGTTGTCAGGTAGATGACGATTTAGGCCTTCATTTGTCCTAAAAAGAAAAAATAAGGTGTTAAATATTGGACTTGGGACAGTCTACAAATATGGGATCCTAAAAATAATTTACAAGATTTTATACAATGCCTTAAGGTGTTTAAAGAAATTTTTATTGCGTTCTATGAGCAATGAACAGTGTCTGAAGATGTGCGGGCCAAGAGCCATAGCTACTGTCTCTGGGGGTGTTGCTTTAGGAGATGAATCAGGTGCAAAGATGAAGTGTACAAGCATTCATACTAAGAGTAGGATGAAGAAACTGAATAAAATAAAATTACAAATCTCATGAAAATAAATAAACAGCTTACCTCACTTGGCTAATAATTAAAAATTTTTTAGCATACCTAGTAAGGCCCCCAAGGGAAGCACAGGAGAACTGCTGGGGAGGAGGTGGGCAGAGGGCACCTGCACTAAAGGAATGGGTGGGACTTGAAGATGCCAAGGGCCTCAGCACATTCAAAACTTCATGGATAGGAGAGAAATGAATGAGAGATGTTCAGTCAAAGGAATGAAATACTCATCCACCCATGTCAGAATAACTGTAGGACAGGACTCAGGCTTTAGGAAAAGTGATTTCATTTGATGGAACCTGAAAGTTTCTCTTTCATGGAGTGTATGGTTTTAGCCTTGGCTATGGGGAATGAAGAGGTACTGACCAGACACAGAAAGCATTTTAGAAAGTGATGACATGCTCTGTGATGTTCATTCTGTCCTTGTAGATTTTCAGTCCAACAGGAAGAGTTGAGTGAAAACATGGATCAGACAAATGGAACCTCCACTGACTTCATCCTTCTGGGCCTCTTTCCGGGGTTCGGACACCCCAAGCTCCTGATCCTCATCATTCTCCTCATCTACACTGTGGCCTTTGCTGGAAACTCTGTCCTGATTGTCCTCATCTGGCTGGATTCCCACCTGCACACCCCCATGTACTTCCTGCTCAGCCAACTCTCGGTCCTCGACCTGGCTTACATCTCCAGCACGGTGCCCAAGACAGCATCCAACTACTTCCAAGGGAAGAGAAGCATTTCCTACTTTGCCTGTGGTGCTCAAATGTTCTTCTTCCTCACCTTCGGCCTGGCAGAGTGCATCCTCCTGACCCTTATGGCCTATGATCGTAATGTGGCTGTCTGTAACCCCCTGAGGTATGCAGTCCTCATGAGCCCCAAGGTCTGCCTGCAGATGGCTGCTGCAGTGTGGACTGGAGCAGCCCTTCTTGCCCTGGCCCACACTGTCTACCCAATGCATTTTCCCATCTGTGGCTCCAGGGAGATTAACCACTACTTTTGTGAGATGCCTGCCATTCTGGGAATGTCTTGTGTAGACACATCAGCCTATGAGATGGTGAAATTTGCGTCCACCATTGTGGTCCTCTTGGTCCCATTTCTTCTCATCCTGGCTTCCTACACACTCATACTCCTCGCTGTCCTCAACATGAACTCACGGAAGGGGAGGAATAAAGCCCTGGCCACCTGCTCCTCTCACCTGACCGTAGTGTGTCTCTACTTTGGCCAAGCCATCTTCATCTATATGACACCCACCTCTTCCCACACACCCGAGCAAGACCAGGTAGGAGCCGTGCTTGGTACCATAGTGACGCCTGCACTCAACCCCCTCATCTACAGCCTGAGGAACAAGGAGGTGGTGGGGGCCCTGCAGAAGTGCCTCGGAAGGTGCTGCAACCGTGAAAATGGCTGGTCTCTGCAGCACGACATCGGGAAGGTGTTACCTTCAATTCTAAGAACGTCCACAACCAACTGACCTCCTAGGTATGCCTGGCCATTGAATGTGCAACATGGGGGGTAAACTGGGCTCACGTAAACTGGCATTTGTGGGGTGGCACTGTTCTTCCTGCCCCAGTGACAGCTTCAGATCAGCACAGCCTGAAAATTACTATTTATTAAAAAATTACACGGATTTTGATGATAATATTGGTGCAGAGTTACACGTTTGCCATCTCCTTTTTCAACTGTAATGCACTGGGTCACATGTCAAGAACTGATTTTCTTCCTAGAATGCACCCTGATAGAACTTTCTAAATTAAAAATAGGTCTGTTATTTGCTTTCCTCCTTTTCACTCTGTCTCCACTGTCCAAAAGATCAAAGATCCTCTGTTCTGTGAAAATCTCGCTTTCTAACCCTTGCCTTTTCCATGCTCCTATTTATGCAGATCCGTTGCTGATTTGCTACAAATAATTCATAAAGTTGTATTTTTTTCTTCTTCTAAATTAAAAAAATAAGTAGCCATATGTAAATAGAAATCACAGAGATGAATTCAGGAAATTCTTCAAGAAAGTAGATGGAAATTACTTTTTCCTTTTTTTTCTCCTAGATTTCACCATTCTTCACCTTCTCATGCACTGATATCTGCATTTATAAAGATGGAGTTCAGTTTTAACTTATAATTTTGTGATCACATTTAGTGCAGTTTCTGCAGCTTGCAGCAAGCTGACTTTCCCTATGTCAGGAATGGCGAATCCTCCAGTGCTTTCAGTGACAACAAACAGCCAGCTGTGGCATGTGAGCCTCAGGTTTACCACCACTGTTCCATGGCTTTAGGCACAACAAACAATAATAAATTATGACATTATAAAATTACAACTCAGTTTTAAAGATCGCATTTCAACTTTCTTACTTCTGACATCATCTGAGCTTCACAATCATAACTTGTAAAGTAGTTTAATTTTGATAATTTAAAATTTATATGGACCCTTTGTCGCTGGTGTCCACCATTCTACAATGCATAACCAGATATGCCTGCTCTCCTCCTGGTGCTCGAGTGCCTCCACTGATGCCTCTGTGGCCCCCTGGGTGCTGGTGGATGTCAGAGAAGGTGCCCAACAGGCCACACACAGAAGGCCTGAACCCGGGCTCTGTGTGCACGAGGCATGTGTTTCAGCCCTGAGGCACACCCCAAGCCTCTTGTGTCTTTTACATCATTTAAAACAATTAGTCAAGAGCTGAAAAATACTGTGAACTAAGATAGTTGCACCCATTAGTCACACTAGGAACCTCACCATGAGCAGCAAGTGCCAGGCTCTGTGGGCAGCCTGGAGCATGCCAAGAATCACAGGGCCACAGCTTGAAGGAGTTGGCAGCTGAGCAAAACCCAGAAATATTGGTAACCAGAAAAATAAGCAATGGGAACAGCACAGTCCGGCCCTGAAAGCCAGCAGCTGGGAGGTGGAGCGGGTCTTCCTGTAGTGTGGTGACAGAAGGAGGACACAGCAATCCCCTGGGACTATTGGTTCCACATGGGGGAGGCAAACCAGCTCTTGCAGACTGGAGATTGCAGAGCAGTGCACAGAGACAGGAGTGACAATTCCTGTCTCTCCAGACCCAGAGGGGGTCAGTGCAGGAAGCCTCTTGGCAGCATCTGTGTTGCCAGTGCAGGGAGGAGATAAGTCAGAGTGGAAGTGGGGCAGGTGCCCAGTGTGAGCAGTTCCCTTGGCCTCATGTGGAACCCCACATTTGTTGTAGCCCTAAGGTGTGAGGACCATTGTTATTTATGGGGAGGAGGAAGCAGCTACCAGCCCTAACGAAGAGAATGGGCCCTGGGTGACAGTGGCTGTGATGTGTGAGAGACACCACTGTGGGGGAAGGGATCCTCACAGGGAGCCTCCTGCAGGGACCATGGGGAACAAGGCCTCAGGAACCTCTAACACGCAGACCCCAAGTGCACATCTCCCTTTTGATCTGCCTGGAGGCCTCAGACTGAAGACCAGCAAAATCCTCTTAGCCACACCTCTGGGAGCGCGGCCCCCACAGGTGCTGCAGTGTTGGGCACCCTCCTGACTTGCCTAGGGTTGCAAGAGGGACAGACTCAGATGGATCCTCCGCCCAGTCACTCCCAGAGTTGGGCCAATTTAAACCAGTTAATAATCGGACCACTGAAACCTTAGCCAAAGCAATTAAACAAGAGAAAGAAATAAAAGTAACAAAGGTAGGAAAGCAAGAAGGTAAATTACCATTATTTGTGGATAACGTGAATTTCTATATGGAAGACTCCAAAAACTCCACCAAAAGAACTGTAGATTTAAAAACTAAATTCAATGTGCAGCTGGATACAAAGTCAACACTCAAAACTCAGTAACATTCCTGTTATTCCACAAATTCACAGAGAGAGAAATAAGGGAAACCACACCCCTCACTATAGCACCCCCCAAAAAAGGAATACTCAGGAGTCAATCTAACAAAGGAAGTAAAAGATATTTACATTGAAAATCACAGTACTCAAAAAAGGAGATAGAAGAGGACGTAAGAAAATAGCCTTTGCTCATGGTTAGGAAGAACCAACATAGTGAAAATGGCCATACTCCCAAATCTGTTACACAGGCTTAATGCAATCCTGATCTAAACACCATTGGCATACCTCACAGAACTAGAGAAAACATTCCTAGGGCTGGGGGCTTAGCTCAGCGGCTTAAGCTCCTGCCTGGCAAGTGCAAGGTTGTGAGTTTGATTCCCAGTACTAAAACAAAAAAACGAACAAAAATTCCTAAAATTCATTTGGAAACAGAAAGGACCTAGAACAACAAAAGCAATTCTTAGCAACAAAGGCAAGACAGAAGGCATCATAATCCCTGACTTAAATTTTACTATAAAGCTTCTGTGATAAAATCAGCATGATACTGGGAAAAAAAAAAAAAACAGACATGCAGATCAGTGGAATAAAGATGCAGACACAACTCCAAACACACTCAGCTACCTTGTGTTTGACAAAGTAGACAAACATTTTCACTGGTACAAAGACAGCCTCTTTAATAAAGGTGCTGGGAAAACTGGCTTCCACATGCTGAAGACTGAAACTAGACCCATATCTCTTACCATACACTAAACCAATGTCAAGAAGGAAATAAAGAATTAACAGCTGGGCCTATCCCGCCCGGGGCCCATACTATGACTGCTGGGGACTGGAAGGTGTGCATCCAGCTGAGCAGAGGCATCCTGCTGCCGCCTCTCCCACCCAGGGCCCATACTACCACCTCTGGGGACTGGAAGGTGCGCATCCAGCTGAGTGGAAGCAACCCTCGGTCCGGCCCTGAAACTGTGCAAATTGAGGAAGCTTTAGGTCTACCTGAGAGGAGCCTGGCAAGCCTCTTTTAATCCAGGCACTCCGCTGCCCAAGGAGGGAGCTACTACAAGAGGAGTCCCAAGAGCCCAGGATATAAGAGTCAATTTACAACACAACCAGGGGAAACTCTGAAACAACACTTGAAGCACAGTAATATAGGAAAATGACAAAATGAAAGACCAAAATGCAATCTCAAACACCCAACCCATCCCCCCAAGAAAGCCTAGGAGCCATGTACATAGAAGAAAATACATGCCATATACCTGAAATACCTGAAACAATAGTAACAGTAATAAAGAAGCAGCTCCGGGAAGCTTTGAAGGAATTCAAACTAGAAATAATATATTAGGCAAAAGAAGAAATCATACAAGAAATGAAGGAGATGCTGAACATATCTAAAGAAGACACAGCTAAAAAATTGGAAGAACTAAACAAAAGGATAGAATCTCTGGATGAAGAATATAAGAAAGAAACAGAATATAGAAAACAGATGCAAAGAGATATACAGGAAATCAAAAGCAACCTTGAAAGTTGTAAAAACCGCCTGAATGAATGCGAAGATAGAATTTTGGACCTCAAAGACAAGATTGCAGCCAGTGAACAGGAAAGGAAAGATCTTTTAAAAATAATAAGAAATCAACAAATAACAACACAACACCTGCAAGATGATGCAAAGAAAAACAACATCAGGTTGATAGGAATAAATGAAAAAGAAGGAGACAGTACAAAGGATGTCAAGAGGATATTTAGAGAAGTAATTGCTGAAAACTTCTCAAACATGAAATTGGAAACTGCTATCAGGATCAATGAGGCATATAGAACTCCAAATAGCAATAACCAAAATAAAACTACACCCAGACATATAATAATCACCATTCCAGAAATCGAACAAAAGAATAGAATATTAAAAGCTGTCAGAGATAAAAGACAGATCACCTATAAAGGAAAACCTATCAGAATCACAGCAGACTTCTCAACACAAACAATAAAGGCAAGAAGAACACGGAGTGAAGTATTTCAGACCCTAAAGCAAAATGATTTCCAACCTAGACTGATGTACCCTGCAAAACTGTCCTTCAAAATTGATGGAGAAATAAGATACTTCCACGACAAAAAACAGCTGAAGAAATTCATGATCACCAAGCCAACCCGGCAAAGAATACTAAAAGACAGTCTAGATACACTTAAGGAAAAACCACTTAACAAAGCAGACAATTAAACAGAACAGAAAGATAAAGATGCAACAGCAGAAATATAACATGTCACTAATAAACCAATATATAACACTTACAATCATTAACATAAATGGTCTCAATGCACTAATTAAAAGAAATAGACTGGCACAATGGATCAAGAAACAAAATCTAACCATATGCTGTCTACAAGAAACCCATCTAACCCAAAAGGATACTCACAGACTGAAAGTCAAAGGATGGAAAACAATACTTCATGCAACAGGAACCCCCAAAAAAGCAGGGGTAGCTATTCTGTTTGCAGACAATGTGAACTTCAAACCAATAATGATCAGAAGAGACAAAGCAGGTCACTACATACTGGTTACAAGAAAACTTCAAGAGGAAGAGATAACTATCTTAAATATATATGCATCAAATTCCAAAGCACCCAGTTATATAAAACAAGTAACATCTGAAATGAAAAACCAAATTAGCAGTAATACAATTATAAC